ACCCCCCTTCGCGTGCTCGTAAGTATGGGTTACGGTTAGACCCTCCCCCCTTGTCCAAATCCTGTACACGCCCCTGACCCCCCTCACTCGCTTCGCTCTCTCGCCGTATCATCCCCCACATTTCACTACATATTGCTCATTTGGTGCCCCCTCTTTTTGAAATTCTTGGATCCGCCCCTGGTTTCTATAATTATCCTATGCTTTCCCAATTAAACCGAGATGTTGCCTACACCTTCCTTTATTCTTTAACCTTTTCTAAACTATCTCTAGTAGCAACACTTTTCTTTATTATTGCTTGGCTCACATTGCATGTGTGGTCCCGATTCCTCTTCCACTGCCGCTTATTTGCTTTCGTTGTGGCACTCGGTATCAGAGATGCGTGCTTGCGAACTGTTGGATTCAATGCCAAAATGCTCTGCAAACCAAAAATATAACATAGATGGCTGAGGTTACAATGTAAATATATCATATTTTATTACCTAGGGGTTTTAACGATTCACCTATACATCGGTGAATCGCGATACAGCGGCCCATGATACAATAATCGATACGCTGCGTCCGTATCGCGATACAAACGATACGGATGATAAACAGTCAATAAGGCAAGCTAAACTATTTAATAAAGCACATGCAATTCCTTTTAAATTGAATTCTATCTTTTATTTAAGAACTCCCTCTCATATCAGTATCACGTAAATATTCTCGGCTGTCATAGAAATCTGGGTAAATATATGTGGAGCGCTTGTATTAATTGCTGCCAAGATTGTTACCACAAACCCCATCAAGAGTGCTGATTGACTGGTGCGTGTCGTTACTGCGCACGTACTGTAGCACTACGTATAGCGCGCATGTGAGCAGAGCTGTCAATTGCAGGTCAGTCTAGAACACACTCAGGACATCTCAGTGTGTTTCAGCCATAGAAATATATATATATGTAGTAACTGATTGTTTACTATATATCTGTATGGCTTTGACATACTCATAACACGTTTGTGTTATGAAAGAATTGGAATACATATTTTTATAACAGTAAAAAACATTAGAATTCAACCATTCTATGCCAAGCCATTATACCTTCAAAAATCATTTCTAAAGAATATAAACCTAGAATCCCAAATCAATTTACAATGCATTAAATTAATTTACAAAGTTTTAAATTAATTTACAAAATTAACAATTTATTTATAGAAACATAAGTTATAGTTGCAATTTATTAACATGTTTACGAATCAATTTACAAGATTCTAAATTAATTTATAACATTTCAAATCAATTTACGAAAATACAAATCAAGTTGTATGTCACAATTAATTCATGTATCTACAAACCAGTCTACTGGTTTGTAAATCAATTCATAAAAGCTACAATTTAGTTACATGCTTACGAATCAAATTACAAGATTATAAATTAATTTGTAACATTTCAAATCAATTTCTATCCTTACTATAAAGCAGCTAATCTTGTGTGTGTGTGTGTGTGTGTGTGTGTGTGTGTGTGTGTGTGTGTGTGTGTGTGTGTGTGTGTTGTTGTAC